GAACAAGATTTAGTAACAGATTTACCTGGACAGCCTGATGTGAATTTCAGGCATTATGCCGGTTATGTTCCTGTGGATGAATCCAACGGAAGAGCTATGTTTTATTGGTTCTTTGAGGCCATGGATCTCCCTAAAGAGAAACCTCTAGTCCTCTGGCTTAATGGAGGTAACCCAATCTTTTGATATCTTCATGCATGCATGAGCAACTATTATACTCTTCCAATTTTCATTCTGATCGATAACATGTAAATTCTACATATTTCTTTATAAACTACATAATTTACAGGATCATGGTTTATGATTTTTGTTTATCAGTTTCGCTGTTTTACCGTACTAACGAATCAAAGCTCTTACAATAAAAACTAGTGTTGATTTGTTATTTTTTTATGTCGTCTCATGGGAGAACACAATTTGAATAATTTTTTTTTATATATAATGTATATATATAGGTCCAGGTTGTTCTTCTGTGGGATATGGAGCAACACAAGAAATTGGTCCTTTTCTCGTGGACACCAACGGAAACGGACTTAACTTTAATCCATACGCATGGAATAAAGGTAAATTTTTTTTTTTTTTTTTTTTATATAGTTTTCGTAGCATCACATTATTTATATGTAAATGAAAATGACATTAAATGATGTAAAAAGGTTGATTTGCTGATGCAGAGGCCAACATGCTGTTTTTAGAATCTCCCGTCGGTGTTGGCTTTTCGTATTCAAACACAAGTAGCGATTATCAAAAACTTGGAGATGACTTTACAGGTAGGTTCATTATTTTTTAAAAACTTTTCACATGCAAGTCCTTTTATTATTATAAATATTATCTATAGTATTTGTCCCTAATTAGACGAGGACGTAGTACTTCATAAACATAACTATATGCTTCATTCTCTTTTCTATCAGCAAGAGACGCATACATTTTTCTTTGCAACTGGTTTGAGAAATTCCCAGAACACAAAGAAAGTACGTTCTATATCGCGGGTGAAAGTTATGCAGGTAACTAAATAAATCAAAAAAAGAAAGAAAAAAAAACTAAATAAATCAATTTGGATATAGTATTTTCCTTTTTACGCATTTTTATTGGTTTTCATCGCGAATTTAATTTTATATGAATGTAAATATACTTGCAGGAAAATACGTACCCGAGTTAGCAGAGGTTGTGTACGATAACAATAACAATAACAAGAAGAATGGTTCATCGTTTCACATCAATCTTAAGGGTATTCTGGTACGTGTAAATCTTAAGTGTGAATTTCTCATCTTTAACCCAAAAATATCATACAAAATAAACAGTGGCGGAGCTAGAATTTAAATTTACCGGGGTCAAAATATAAAAAATATTTTAATAAAGTGTGGTTGTTTTTTTTCTTCAAATTATATTGCATATAGCTTATTTTTTTTTTATTACATTTACAAAAATGAAATTCTGATATTTATAAAAACATTTGGTTTGTCTAAAACATGATAATAAAATTAAAAACAAAGAAACTTATATATAACAATTAGTGGTTATAGTCTATATCATTTTGTAATATTAAAAAAGTTATGGTTTAAGGGGTCAAAAGAGTAGTTTTCATATTGAGCACTGGGGTCAATTTATAGGAATTTAATCAAATATCTATGTATTTGTTTAAATATGCCATAATATTAGTTTGATTTTGAAAATTCACCGGGGTCAGTTGACCCCCATGTTTCTATGCTACCTCCGCCACTGAAAATAAACCTAGGGAATGTACTTTAATATATAGTATCATGCATCTACTATTAACTTTGCATGATTGTTGCAAGTCATGCGGCTTAAAAGACCCAGTACATTTTTTTTTTTGCTATATATAGTTGGGGAATCCTGAGACATCAGACGCAGAAGATTGGAGAGGTTGGGTGGATTATGCATGGAGCCATGCAGTGATATCAGATGAGACGCATAGGATCATAACCAGGACGTGCAATTTCAGCAGCGAAAATACTTGGAGCAACGATGAGTGCAATGAGGCCGTAGCAGAAGTTCTCAAGCAGTATCACGAGATAGATATCTATAGCATCTATACTTCAGTTTGCATAGGAGATTCTGCGCGATCGTCTTACTTTGATTCTGTGCAATTCAAAACAAATTCTCGCATTAGCTCCAAGAGGGTACGTGTATAACATTAAAGCCTATTAGTTACTTTGAAACATAACAAATTTCTATATTTGTTCGGATGCCTTATAGATGCCACCGAGGCTCATGGGTGGATATGATCCGTGCTTAGATGATTACGCGAGAGTATTTTACAACAGAGCAGATGTTCAGAAGTCTCTTCATGCCAGTGATGGAGTTAATCTCAAGAACTGGAGCATTTGCAAGTACTCTCCCCAATTTTCTTTATGGTTTATTTTTGTGTTATATATGAAAGAACTTGTCTGAATATTCTTTGGTATTCTAAAACTTCAGCATGGAGATCTTTAATAATTGGACTGGTTCAAACCCGTCGGTTTTGCCTATTTACGAGAAACTCATCGCCGGAGGATTAAGAATATGGGTTTACAGGTAAATTACGTTCACGAAACCAACAAGATTCTGATTAATTTCACTAAAAAAATCTGACGAAAAGTAGTAGACTACAACACATTTAAAACTTTGATCACTGAAACAAAAAAAAAAAACAGAGTAAACACTTCGGTTGCTTCCTACGCAAGTAACCACTATACACTTTAGGTTCTTCTACTTTGAAAGAAAGTTTTTTTACTCTCCAATTTTTCTAAGCCGTTGGTTTTTTGTTTCTTTTTGTGATGGATCAGTGGTGACACAGACGGAAGAGTACCCGTACTTGCGACTCGGTATAGCTTAAGCGCACTCGAATTACCCATCAAGACAGCTTGGAGGCCATGGTACCATGAGAAACAGGTATTCTGTGGATATAATTAACAAGTTCTTTAGATTCTTAATTTGAGATTTGTTAGACCTGTTAAATTTCTTGATGATGCTACAACAGGTAAGTGGGTGGCTTCAAGAATACGAAGGTCTAACGTTTGCTACGTTCAGAGGAGCTGGACATGCGGTGCCTTGCTTCAAACCAAGCAGCTCTCTCGCCTTTTTCTCGGCGTTTCTTAGCGGAGTTCCTCCTCCACCGTCGCGGTAGCTAGAGAATAAAGTCAACGATCTAAAAGATGCTTTAGTAATCTATTTTATAAGTATTTTTGAAAGATTTTGGGTTTTGTTTCTTTAACTTGTCAGACACGGGATAGGGGTAAAAAAGGAATGTAACTTGTAAGAGAGAGAAATTGTATGTGACTTATGTTACATTCTATGTCATGATCATAATGATCAAAAAAACTTTCAACACTTTAAGATTATGATCAAATGAAAAATAAATAGCTTTTTGGTGCAATATATATATATATATATATCATTATAATGAAATCCTAACTGGTAGACCGGTAGCTCCAAACACTTCTGTTTTTTGCAACCAAAAACTAAAAACTAGAACATCGAATATATAAAAGTAGCTCATATTGAAAACAGAAATTTGATAGTATATCGCAAAAGATCTATTTCTTACTCCTTTTTTTTTTTAATTAGGAAGGCAAGATATGAATATGCGAAACTTTATTTACAAGAACATGTATGCGGTCACAAAAGAGTATGGTGGAGAAATTTTTTGGCGGTTTTTGCCATCTCAAAGAGAGTACTTTGGCGCACACATTTTTTTTGGTGGTTTTTGCTAATTCGCCCTTTTATATAAATCATTGGTAACCGTAGATTTTTGTTACTTAAATGATCGTTGGTCAAATATAAAGCCATATATATATGGTACATGATCATCTCTCTTTTGGGTAAGAATAGAACATGCATGCACCTATCATCCAAAATATCTCTTCTTAATATATATTTCATCCTTACCAACAATATTTACTTTGTATTAGCAATTATAAATTATATAAAAAAAATTTCATTCCAGAATAATTATTTTAATACAACAAAGACTAATTACTTAATACTTTGGTAAATTACTTCCGGATCCACAAAATCTACTATATTTTATTATTTTCATATGATGCAATATATATTTTATAATAAATGTTTAATTTAAATAATAGAATTTGTTTTTTATGAAGTTTTGTAAAACTTAAAGTAAATGGGATAATTTGCAATTTTTATAAATTAAAGGTATTAATTCTAAACGAAATAAAAAATCTATTTGGAATATTCTTGTTTAGAGAAAAAAAAATAGAGGAATATATTGGAGTAAAACTCACATCTATTATAGAGTTCTTCTATTTTAAAGGCAAAAATAAAGAAATACATTGGAGATGATATTAGAGATAATTTTGAACCATTGACCCATCAAATTAATATTTTCATTCACAAATAAAAAAAAAGGTATATTATCTTCTTTTTTTGTCATCTTTTTTTTTTTTATATAACTCATGTGAGCTTTCTAGGCCTAAAGACTAAAATATCAAGAATATTTTACATTGTGAAAGAAAGAAAGTGTTACACTTTGTCTTTTGTTAACACAGTATACTCTGATTTCAAGTCAAACAAAATCGTTAATACTACATACTTTTTTTTTAGCATAGTAGAAAATAAGAAAATTTCTAGAACGTATTTAGCTTAAAGCCTAAAATCTTAGGCCGCACGAACGGAGTGCACGTTTGCTTCTGTCACATGTTTGTTTGTCCGAGTTTATGCTCTTGTTGCCGTTTTAAAAAGTTGAAAAAAAATCCTAACTTTTCAATTTCAAATTAGAAATGAAACTACATAAATTGGAGCTTGACTTTTCTTTTATAGATATCCTCTTTTTACCTATTTTACTATACTCAATTATACTATTTTTAGGATCCTTCTGAAAATTAAATTAAATTTTCCATTTCTGCTTGTAATTTCTTATTTCTGACAAAAACAAATGTTGAAAAAAATCTATCCTTAGATGCCACATGTCGCGATTCGATAAGTGATAAGATTCAATATTATCTGGAGCGTTAGCGTTAAATAACACTCTAAGCTTCACATGTTTTATCTCTTACACTCGATTAAGTCTATGTAATTATTACAACAAGTATATCACAACACTCCATTCTCTTTGTTTTCTCCGCTGATGATGAGTGTGAAAACCTGTAAAGTTGAGGTAAAGCAATTGATCGGTTTCGCTTAAATTGTTTGTTACCGAAACTTGTTTTGATATCTCTAATGGTTTTTCTTATTTATGTTGTTTGTTATGAACTTTGTTACAGCCTTTAAAAGGTCAAACACCACTTACAAGTAGCAAGACCAAACAGGATGCTAAACCTTATTCGGGTTCTTCACCATCATCGATCAAGGCGTCTAGATCTCCATTCGTGAGCCAAAAAACTTCAAGACGTGTTGCTTCGTCGGCTGAAGATATCAAGAATGCTCACAGAGAAGCAACAAAGATCTCCAGTTCGAGCTGCCAATCACGCAAATGGACAGGAAATTTTATTCTCATGGTCGAGCTTCGAAGAATGATTATCACTTTTAGAAGCATCATTGATCTTCCTCCTCTTACCGGTTATCTCTCTATAACCAATGTACGTTAACCTCTTCCCTACGTTTTGTTTTTCCCAGATAATCGTACCTTTGACCTAAACTCACAAAGTACTAATCACCATGAGAATTTCTTTTATTTTTTGAGGTGAAAATGTGAATTTTCCATTAACAAAATGAAAATATGTTAGTTGCATACTGAATAAAGAATGTGAAGAATTTGTAACTAGCTATATCTCATCGTAGCAATTACAAAAAAAAAAGTTATCCCAGTTCATAAGCATCGATCAGATAGGTAAAAATCCTGTGAAAATCGATTCCTTGGTAAAAAACCACCACTTGATTTGTATTAGATATGACTGATAGGTTGCGTTGTTGTTGTTTGTTTTCTGGCTAATGGTAGATGGTGATGCGTACGATGAAAGATCTCCATAAGCTTTGTCCTGAGATCATTGACAGCTCGCAAATCCTCAATATGAGACGTGCAGAAGTTGACAAGGTTTATACAAATCTCATAACTTAAATTGTGTCTAGAGTCTAAGTGAAGTACTTAGGCTCTGACCAAATTGTGATTTTATATTCTGATCAAAACTATTGCAAACAGTTGCTTGACAATTTCTACAACGCTTTGAAATCAATTGGAGATTCATGGATCGATGACCACGAATGGATCATCAAATCCAAGTATAGAAGCAGTAACATAAGGAAGAATCTATCTGATCGACTTGGTAACACATATCAGATTCTAATGATAATTAATATTATACACTCTTGTTACACAATCTCTATAAATTGTTCTTGCAGTGGAAAAGGTGTTAGCTGCTTTAGATGGAATGATTAAGGTGATGAACGAGAGGCTCAATACGACAGAGATCAGCAATGTTGAAATGAAGAAAAAGGTTAGTCCGCGGAGTACTAAAACATCTAGTGGCCGATCAGAATCATTGGCGAAGCAACCGATCACACCAAGAAAGGTGCTGAGTCCACCGAGAAAAGTTGGAGACTTTGCAATCTCTGTGTCAAATCTTCCTAGGAATGTGAGAATGCAAGCGCTCGTAAAGCTGAGTCCTATCGATGTAAAGCGGCTCGCTATCCAAAATTTTAGTCAGAAAGAAGCTCAGAGCAATAACGGTGATGGTAATGATGAGAGTGTTAAAGTGAAGCAGAGTGAAACAGAGAGGATTGAGAAGATGGACAAAGCAAGAGAAGCTATTCTTGAGGAACAAGATAGTGTGAAGAACCAGATTGATGATAAAAATTTCTCAAAAGTTTCAGTGAAATCTGAATATTTTCCAAAATCTTTTACTCCGCCTCCTCCACCTCCAGGGAATGCAGCAATCCTCCTGCAACCACCACTTACAATATCTGCCGGAAAAGGACTGGCTGCTCCACTTCCTCCACCTCCCAGAAGTGCAGCACTACCACCGCCACCGCCACTTCCAATGGCTGTGAGAAAAGGAGTGACTCCACCTATTCCACCTCCAGAGACTGCAGCACTACCTCCACCACCGCAACTTCCAATGGTTGCCGGAAAAGTACAGGCTGCTCCACCTCCACCTCCCAGGAGTGCAGCAGTACTACCACCACCACCACTTCCAATGGCTGCGGGAAAAGGAGTGGCTGCTCCGCCGCTTCCACCTCCAGGGGCTGCAGCACTACTGCAACCTCCAATGGTTGCCGGAAAAGGACCGGCTGCTCCACCACCACCTCCACCTGGCGCAAGAGGAGGCTTGGGAGCCAAGAAAGCAACTAGTAAACTGAAGAGATCAACCCATTTAGGGGCCCTCTTTAGATTCCTCAAGGCAAAATTAGAAGGGAAGAATCCAGAAGTACGATCTCGTGGTGCTGGAGGAGGAAGTAAAGGAGGGATGGGAAGCGCTCCAGCCAGCGGAAAGCAAGGAATGGCTGATGCTCTTGCTGAGATAACAAAGAAGTAAATCACATCTCACTTCACTTATAAACAACAAAATAGTCAAAAACTCATACTTGCTTTATATTTTATGGCTACACAGGTCTCCTTATTTTCAGAAGATAGAAGAGGATGTTCGAATGTATATGAGTTCAATCAATGAGCTTAAGACAGATATTACCAAGTTCAAGAACAAGGACATCACCGAGCTTCAGAAATTTCACCATCGTGTTGAATCAGTTCTTGAGAAACTAGAAGATGAAACACAGGTCAGTGATAACAACATAAGTTATTGATGTCACAAACTTTCTTCATCATGTTCTGATTCTGTGATCACCAAAATGTTTAAACTTGGTTAGGTTCTAGCAAGGTGTGAAGGATTTCCTCATAAGAAACTCGAAGCAATAAGAATGGCTGCTGCATTATACTCAAAGCTGCAGGGTATGATCAAAGAGCTAAAGAACTGGAAGATAGAGTCTCCCGCCAACCAGCTTTTCGACAAGACTGAACGTTACTTTGCAAAGGCAAGTCATAGGAATACTGATTTTTCTAGTTTCTTCGCCTTTCCTTTTTTTGGTTATTTCCTATTCCAGGTAGCTGAACTGATCTGAGGCCAATGATAAAAAAAAAAAAACAGATCAGAAAAGAGATTGAAACTCTAGACCAGATCAAAGCAGAAGAGGAAAAGAAGTTCAAGAGCAATAACATCCATTTCGACTTCAATATCCTTGTTCAGATTAAGGAATTAATGGTTGATATCTCTTCGGGCTGCATGGAACTGGCGTTGAAGGTAAGACTAACAATGTTTTGATCACTGTTTTGAAACCCTTTTTACTGGAGTCTCTTGGTTCAACCTCACAGGAAAAGAGAGAAGCAAAGATTGCATCGCAAACTACTGCAGAATCACGCGAGGCAAAGCCAAGCACAAAGAATAAGACTCCAGGATGGGCTAAAACGCTGTGGAGGGCATTTCATTTTGCATACAGAGTTTACACATTTGCTGGCGGGCACGACGATCGTGCTGATAAGCTTACAAGAGAGTTGGGTGAGGAGATCGAACTGATTCTTGGTAACCAGTGACTCGTGACTTCACTACCCCTCTTACTATGTATCGGCTGAAAATGTCACAAAAGTGTTGAGTCTTTTTAGAAGACATTTATTAAAGAGAATAAGTGATTTAGATAACATGTTGTAATGTAGTTAGTTACCAAAAAGCTTTTGTACTCTGATAAGTCTTCTCACTGAATGACTGAACCTATAGAAAAGAAAATAGCATATTAAAGTTACCAAAACATATCCGAGCTCGAATCCAGCCAATTATACACTTGAGGACGACAGATCTCAGGACTGAACCGAGGTAGGAAAACTGGGAACTTACGTGTGACAATATGGCAAGCTCTGGCCAGAGACGGATGCACAGCTCGAAGGATGGCGACAGTGAGAGAAGTCAAGAGGGAAGGAAACAGAACAAACCAAGAACAAGAGAAAAGATGAGTTTTATCTAAAAAAAAGAGAGAGAGCTAAAAGGAGGCTGAAACGAATTAATAAAGTATTCATAAAATAGATTAATGAATAATATTTTGCCGACTTTTCCTTGCAGCTTTAAGAATTATAGATACACATTTCAAAACTGTAATATGATTAAATATCAAAACGTAATGACGTTTATGTATACACAATCACCTTAAGTCGTTATTTGCAAGATATTAAACGATGATGGAACAGATCTCATAAGAAAAAGTGGTTGAGCAAACTTGTATATATGGGATTAGTCAAGAAAACTACAAAAAGAATGGAGTGTATGAGTAAAACTGTAAAAGACAACTAAACAAAACCTAAGCCGAGACAAACAGTAAAACTCTAAAAGAGAGAACTAACGCACTAATTGTAGCCTTATATCATACATCATCGATGTGATCACCAGAGTTAGTGATCTCACCCCAAAGCATTCCAAGTTCTTTTTTTTTTTTTTTTTTTTTTTTGCAGAAGCTGTACAGAGAAAATGGAGAATGAAGAATTAATTGCCCTTTTCCGATCCCTGTTTACGGTAATTTGCATGATTTAATCACTTCCATCACTGCTTTATGTGTCTCCGGAGGGATCATGTTCAGAGTCATGTGAAAAGCCTGAACAAACAAAGAACACAATTACTTCAAGGGATCTTGAGATTCTCATTCTCCTAGCCTGAAATTGAGTAGTCATAGATGTTAAAGAGGCACATACCACAAATCTTTCCAAAACCGGAACAAGAATTGCCAGATTGCGTTTCGGGAGATAGTCCTTGATGGAGTTGCGTATACTTATACTGCTAGTGGGTCCAGGAACATGTTTAGTTTCTTGAGAAAGTTTAGATGGATCATGAAATATATACTACGACTGAAAACAAAAAGTACCTTTCAGTTGAAAGAAAGGCGAGTAGTAGAGCAGAGTATGCTTCCACAATCATCTTTTCCGCCTCTTTTTCGCCTTCTAAAACAGCTTCCTCATCATCCTGAATACAAAAGAAAACACAGTAGGTTTAATTAATAAAAGCCTTTTCTGTGGATCTCGAAGCTCGAGTAAACAACAGTGGTGCTGCTACTCACTAAGGTGAAAGTAGTTGTCTCTTCTTTGGTCTCTGCTGATCCTTGATTGGTGAGAAAGATTGAACAGAGTAAAGGAATCATTTCCTGTTCACTCTCTTGCAACCCTTCTGGTTTTGTAATAGGAACACTCGCTGAAGCAAGCCGTGATCTACAAAAATATCAGTTAACTGATTAGAAAAGAATTACCACTCCCGCTGTGACTAAGGGTTAAGGACAAAAGAGTGTGACTAGTTTAACTTGTATTGACTCAACCACATGATGGTGTTAATTTTTGACTGCAGTACAGCAAACTCAAAAAGGTTATCAGTAAAAGCTGAGATTTTGTTTTTACCAACCTGTTCACTCCGTCTTTCTCAACCAAATTTACCAGCAAGCCCAAGATGGCAACAAGAAAATCTAACTCCTGATCTGTAAGATGTTTGTCTTTCTTCTGATGGGACGATCCTGTCTTTTCCATCTCACTGAAAAGCGGAGATTTGGTGAAAGATGGAAAGTGTCTGGCAATTAACTCAGCCATGCTTTCCAGCCCTCTACACCCACCAACTTGTCGACATCCGACAGCGTTGTCATTTGTTAAGTTCATCAAAACCTGCAGATATATAATCATGAACTAAATTTGTGCTACTCCAGCTAAGAGAATTTCACCGCAGACCAGTAAACAGGTGTTAAAAGACTGTAAGAAAATTACCTTTACGGCTGTTAGAAGGCAATCAGATAAAAGACAGAGACATTCTTCATCTATGTCATTTGTACAAGAAGATGGTTGGAGCGATGTACTGCAGTCTCTGTTACTTGATTCTTCTTGGGAATTCAACCTATGGTTTGACGATTCTTCTTGGCTTGAGAACAGCTGATACAAACTTTCATCTTTACTTTGTTTGTAGCATCCTTTCTTCTTTTGAGCTCTAGACTTCTTTTGGTTTACGGACACTACTGCCCACTTGGAAGGTTTAGCATCTTCCAAATCAAACGCAAAAGGATCTTCGCTTTCATCGGGGGATGCAAACTCTCCAATTCTTTTACAGATTGGTTCTCCAGCTTGACTAGTCCTTGAAGTACTTCTGGCAATGCCATTACCCAATGACGCTAATCTCCCTGCAAATGAACCAGAGATGGTGGAACCGACTCTTGTTTTTGACGTAGTAGGCTCATTCCCCGACACACTTGATTGAGAACCCGACATTGATGTTGGCGAGAAATCTAAATGGATTATTGATTGACTTCTTTGGGATACACTCCCATTCCTCGTGGAGATAGAGCCAAAGGTCGAGCATGTATCTGAACTGATTGTCACAACCTCATTGGTAACTGCAAAAGATAGAAGTGGCTTAGCATAGAATCATACAGAGACCAAAGGGGGAATACAGAGAGAGAGAGGAGACGGAGACCAAAGGGGGAGTACAGAGAGAGAGTGAGAGGAGACGGACTCATTTGTGGCTAGAAGAATAAATTACCTTTCCGATCTGCTTCCAAAATAGAATCACGATTACCACCATTTGAATAGTGAGAATTCACATTGTTCGTGTTAGGACTTGGAAAACCTCCACGAAGGTAAAGACCTAGCCATCAATCCAACCAGTAATCAGGATAAGAGATAATACAACGAGCGGAAGTCATCATGTGTAACAATTCAGAACAAGACATGGTATCAATTGCGAACCTGAAAGCATCTTGATGACACTTATCGTGAGCTCTGTGAAAGACATTCGGGAATCATGAGAACCCAAACATTTCTTAAATCCGAGCAAATGATTCTGAAAAACAAAATTAGCGTTACAGATATATTATATCCGGCACTGAGTTATATATACTGCAACTTGATAACACAGCTGATTAACGTCTAAATCTCCAGAATATGGTCATGAATCTAGAAACCAATATAAATAAAAGATACCTGGTTTTCTGTGCTGAGGAATGTAGCATTCTCCATGAGTTTCAGACACTTCAGAAGCAACATTAAACTCTGTTTATGCAGATTATCTTTCTTTTCCTGGACGGAAAGTGCATCGTATTCCACCCAACGCTGCATATATAGAATCTGTATTAGATTCTCTCAAAAAATATAACATAGTGCAATTGCACACCGCCAGCAATTAAGACAATTAAATGCACAAAGAAGAGTACACATGGGACGGTATTCTGGCAATAATCTATATAGTTTATCAATAGAAGTGCCTTCACATTTAACAAAGTCATCCACCACTGCAAAGACGGTCAACAAGAAATCTCTCTTTCAATATACAAAGAAAGCACCTTCATTTAACCCACGTTTCAGCAGTAAAATGGATAGAAAAAAGAATAGACCCTGAAAATACCTAAGCAATCACAAAAGTAGCAATCTAAGATGCTTTCTACAAGTTATTAACGTCCTAGGCAATCATAAACTACAAGATATTAGTGCAAATGAAAAAAAAAACATACAGGTTCACACCTGCATAACAGCGTGACAATCCATAACAACCTCAAGGACTGCATCAAGTCCTCCTAGTTCTCGCAGTTTCTCCTTGAAATTCCCTCCAGTCTTCTTCACAGAACCAGAAGTATCTGGATGGGAGGAAATGACATAAATTATTGACAATAATCAAAGATCATAATATTATCGGCTTATTCTATGCCCATATTATAACCTAGAGAAGCAAAACAAAAGATCAGAGAACCTAATATTATTACCTTATTCTATGCTTAAATGAACCTAGAGAAGCAAAATAAATACTGGAGAGAACAGAAACTTTTCATCATCTATAACCAAAATCTAATTGATTCTGAGATGATCTCTGAAATAGTTAGCTAGTCATTACTTCCAACAGAAGAGGCAAGAAGTTCAAATACCATCAAAAGAAATTTTGGATAAGCACGCCCTCTCCATGGCCAACAAAGCTACCCATTTCGTACTTAGCTCAGGCCTCGTTGTTTCAGTTTTATAGCTATCATTCAATTTCATTTCTTTGCAATTAACAAGAAGTTCCTGAACTCTTGAAAGTATATCACTGGAGCTTGGATCATTCATTTTCACTGGATCCCGTGCTGCATCAACATCCTTAAGTAATGATAAGAGCTTAAATCCTATATTGCGTGGCTTCCCTTCGGTGCTAGTGACAATCACAGGTTTCAACAGCTTTATCAGAAACTTGATGCACTTGGGTGACTCCATAAAGTGCTCGTCTTGACCCTGGAGTCATGAAAATGTATTGGTAAAGTTATATACGGAAAATGTAAAATGGGGAATAAGAAACAAAAAAACGTCAACGAATTAAAAGATTAAACATCAAAAACATATATAACAGCACCTGCAAGTCACTTACATCAGCAGTTAGCACAAAGAAAAGGGTGGCTGCGGCAAGATTGCTTGGTATGTCATCAAGGCTAATAGCCAAAATCGCATCAATTATGGATTGGGAAATCCTGAAACAATAAGTTCCCACAAAATTAGGTAACTTTTCCTGAGAGTTCATGATACTCAGCATCCATCTAGGACTTCTTATCGACTCAACCAAAGAATCAATTAATGGGACAAACACAAAATCTCCAGTCCTTGGGAGAGAATTAGACATATTCCTAAAACCTTACCTCACATGCATCATGATACCAACCCTATTCAGTAATATACCATTCCAATCCACGACAAACCAGAAATACTCAACGTTCTCTAAACTTTCATGCCCTAATCCTCTTCAGAATATCACAAATACCAAATCCATTACAAATCTGATTTACAAGAGCCCAGAATACAGAGAAGAGAAAACGAAACCAATGATTTTGTCGGCATCGGGGAATTTGTATAAAATCGTGCCCTAATCCAGAAGACCGGAAAATAACGAAAACCCAGAACTCAAACAAATCTTTTTCACAAAACCCACAAACCAATTAGGAAAATTTCTCATGAATTGAACAAAACTAAACCCAAACAAGAAGGGGGAAATCGAAAAATCTATGAAAAAAGGGTAAAGCTTCTTACCCTTGAGCCCTCAAGGAGCGACGCTGGTGTTGAGATGCGCAAATCGACAATAGAGAGGACAAGCTTGCTCTTCTGATCCTGAGCTGTTGTCCTTTCCGCAAGCCATCAAGCGCAAAGTTAACCTCATCCTCATGCTCCATCAGCTCACCAAACTCCTGAGCCTCAAGCAAAGTGGAAGTAAAAGCAGCAGCCTCAGCACCGTTCCTGACTCTTTTCGCCCTCCGTACAACGCCTCCGTTCTGTGGATAATCCTCTCTGAAATCTGACCTGGAAGAAGAATGCCAGAGAGAGGAAGACTCTTGACTGGAGAAAGGAAGGAGAGAGTAATCAATGGGCTCGATGTCCGGCGACGAAGAGGAAGAGAGATATTCAGTCTGAGAAACGGAGTCGTTAAGAGAGTCGGATAGGGTCCTCGGAATCCCCGGCTTACGGCGGCCGTAGGTTCGTTCCATCATCGCCGAGAGGAGTCGTTGAATTTGCAATTTTTGGGGCAAAGATTTTTAGGTGAGAAAATCGAAACAAGGGTATTTCGGGAATACCGACAAATATATAAAAGTGCTCGTAAGATCTGTGTAGCTGAAGAAGAGACCAGCAAACGCGATTGGCCGTTAGTTTTATTATTTATACAATTATCATTAAATTTTGTTGTTACCACAGTAAGTCAGTAACCACACTGTTAAGAAATTAACTAACTTTAGTATGAAAAAAACACACACACATTTTCAGTCTGATTTTTGAGGATTAGGGGGTTTTAAGTTGTGTTAGAATTACAATTATTTTTTTTTGTTATTGATTTTTATTTTATTTTTTTTGCGTATTAGCAATGCTGGAAAATTTAAAATTTATGCTAGTTTGAGCAATTTATATTCAACATATATTGATAACTGATTCAGGAAATTCTTTAAAATATATAATTTAACAATAGAAAATAAATAGTAAAACATGTATTTGATTTTTTTTCTATTGAAAATGCTTGACAAATCAAATACATATTTGTGGAATCCCCTTTGTCTATTGGTTGACCAAGGGTTGATTAATGCTTCTACACTAAGAGGTCTAGGGTTCGAGTTCCAGGTATTGCGATTTATTAACAAATTTGCAGATTAATGGAGGCAAGTGTGCAAGAGATCTCCAGCGATGTACAATTATAGTTGTTCGCCAGGATTCTACGAAGAGAAGAAAGTGTCGCTAGGTCGTAGATCATTGAAGGTATTCATCAAGATTACGAAGAAGGAAGTGTAGTCTGTCGTGGATCTAGTAAGAGTCGGAAGGAATTGTCAGTTGTACCATATATATTGACTACCATCTATATATACATTTTTGGATCACAACTAGCAAATAAATCCTGAAGTTGACAAATATTTACAATGACATGCCACTAGCATTAATTATTTAGATTTGTTTTATTTAAGTAAAGATTTTTAATTGAAATTCATTTCTCATATATTTAGCAAAAGTCTCTACAAAATCTTTCCTTATCTATTTAAGTAAAGATTCTGAAATCAAATATGTTCTCAATAATTTACCAAAAATCTCTACACAATCTTTTTAAAAATCTCGACTTAGTTAATTTCTGATTTTTATCTGCAAAAAAAAAATTAATTGTAACAGTTCTCAGAATTTGCAATAAATAATAAATCCAGATGACAAAAAAAAAAAAGTGATGTAAAAATCGGGAATGTTGATACTACAATTTCTTCTACTTCTTTTTTTCATATAATGAAAATTATTTTTTAGGGATATACCCGAATGTACCCGAATACAAATATACACCTAAAAATATTAGTTATTTTTATTTTTATAATACCCGAAATACCTAAAATTATAATCATAAAACCGAATATATTAGGTATTTTAGATATTTTTGGTTATATTTGGGTAAAGAGTAACCAATGTATTTTCGAGAAATCGGGTATTTCGGTTAGATTTGGGTATATATGAGTTAAAAACCCAAACCCGACCCGAACCCGAAAACATTCCGGGTATTTTTGGTTATTTTCGGGTATTTTGCTTTTTTATTAAAATACCCGAACCGACCCGAACCCGAACCGAACCCGAACCAAATTTTTAGAATACCCGAATGGGTCTTGACCCCCTACCCGAATAGACCCGATACCCAAAAAAAAGAACCGAACCCGAATGGGTACCCGAATGCCCAGGCCTAGATATTTTCTTAAAACCTCTAAACAAAACAAAGGGTTTCAAAAGATAGTTTCTCTTTTGGCGGGTGGATCCGCAAACCCGCAACTCTCTACGGGATTAGCCGCATGAACCTGCAACCCGTAGTGGATAAAAATATTATTCAAAAAAAATAACAAATGATGTTTAATTTTACGGGACGAGGTTATATGGTGCAACGGGTTTAGATCAATATTAATATTAAACAATATACTATGGATGAAATCCTAGAATTAAAAATCAAAATTTAATTATAAAATCAGAAACACTAAACAAAATAAACAATATTAACAAAACAAATACAACTTAAAATTTTGCAAAATAATTTTTTAGTTATAAAAAAATTGACCCGCGGTGTACCGCGGGGTAAAATCTAGATTTGGAAGTTTAAGGAGAAATTTTTTTTAAAAAAAATAATAGCTCCGCGGTGTACCGCAAGAAAAATCTTTCTCCTAAACTGAGGCAAGAAGAAGAAGAAAGCCAAATGTCGTTTAAGTGTATATATAGATATACCATTTAAACCTAAAACACAATTAATATACTCAAAATTATTAATATAGATATATGGATGGTATATTTATAAAATAGGTCGAAATATTTTATTATACTCTCTATTAATAAACAAAACTAATTATATTTAGATTTTTTTTAAAAAATTATAGCCCCGCGGTTTACCGCGGGTTCAAATCTAGTATACAGTATATTTTACTATTTATTTCAAATTATAAGGAAGATAATCTACCAGTAGATTATTTCCCCTTCTTATCTAAATTGATATCATCATTTGAAGAAAAAAACAATAAATTGGCATGATTGTGTTTTCTCCCTGTAAATACATTCACCTCTATATACGTTGCATCAAGATTTTTTTAAAAAAGTTCATCAAAAACAAAATATAAAGACTAACAAAATGGAAACAAAAATGCTTAAGTTGGTCTTCTTCGCCTCTCTGTTTATCACTGCAACGCGTAAGTTCTTTTTTTTTTTTTTTGTGGTAATTTGCATGCGATATATTTTTCTTCTGGTTCTTTCACTTTCAGTCTCGTAAAATTAGAGAAACTAGATTGTATAATTATTTATATTTACAAGATAATTCTGGCCTTTTTTCCCAACGATTTCTTCATAAACAGTTTATTCGGTGTAATAAGTTTTGCGAAATTATTCTTTATCAAAAAAAGTTTTGCGAAATTATAGATATAAAAAAAGAAGTAAGTTTTGCAAAGGACTAATTTTCGATGGTATAGATTTTTAATTCTTACTGTAAACCATAGATATATCAAAAATAATATAATTTTTTCTTAAAGAGTTATATAATACAAACCTCTGTCTGAAAAAACTTGCATAATTCATTGTATTTTTTTTGTTAATTTTTTTGATTTAAGTTCTTTTCTTTCTAAGAGGTGGCCAAGGCCAAGCTACTTTCATAACCACCAGGATCAGATTCCGATGTTGGTGAGGCAAGTTGATATACATATAAATTTTGCAACGGAGAAGAAAAAAACACAAATTATGATGGTTGCAGAATTTTACATGGTGGCTGAGGCTAGGGGACCAATAGTGTCAAGACGGTGCCTCACTGTGAACCACTGCGGATTGTGGTGCTACGACTGCACCAAATGTGAGTGCCTTAGTAACTTTTGTCTTTTGCACTTGTACCGGCAGGGCTCCACCAGCCACCGTCCTCGTCACCGGAAACCCCACATCTCAGCCTTCTCCTCTAATTTGATTTTAGAATAGAATTCTAAAAGGAACTATATGTTTTCTTATGAGATATACTACAATATTTTGAAATAGGTTTACATGATGTGATCAAAAGACGTTGCTTTCAAATATTTACAAAATAAAATCTAAACTCCAAACATGAGCCTAGTTTTTCATCGGAGCATATCTCCGGAATGTATTTGTAGTCCGCTAAGCGTAGGCGATATTGTGAATCCGTTTCCGTCCATGCGGTATGAAGGATGCGCAAGCGGGACTGGTCGATCCGGAATAGGAGGGACTTCAATGTCTCCTTCAAGCATTTTCAATGCATCTGATATTGTTGGCCTTAGAGCAACCAATACATGAGCGCACAAAATCCCAACTTGCAAGAATCTCTCCATTATCCCTTTCGGATTCGACATCCCTGAGCCTTCCTCTCTCAACAAAGACTGGTCAAGAGCTTCCTCTGTTTTCCCTGCTTTTACCAACGACCAAGCCCAATCTGTGATCAGAAAAGTGTTTGGTGATCCGGAAGTAGACAGATCAAGAGCTTTCCTTCCACACATTATCTCCAATATAACAACCCCGAAGCTATAAACATCGCTTTTCTCGGTTAATTGACCATAGAGCGCATACTCTGGAGCCAAATAACCGTGTGTACCCGCAACTCTGGTAGTGAGATGAGACTCTCCTTCTCTACTCTGTTTAGCTAAACCAAAATCCGCAACCCTCGCTCTCATATCGACATCTAACAATATGTTCGTACCTTTGATATCCCGGTGGTAAATCGCGGGTTTCACACCGTAATGCAGATAAGCCAACCCTTTGGCCACATCCAAAATGATGCTCTTTCTCTGAGGCCAGCTCAATGGCATCTTCGAAGTCTCACCCCGAGGAAACAGGTGATCATCGAGATTTCCATTCGACATGTAATCATAAACAAGATATCTCTGACTCTCACTATCATCATCCACCATACTACAACCTCTAAGCGGAACAAGATTCCTATGTTTCAAATTGCTAATGATCTCAACCTCATTACGAAACTCTGCATCCCCTTGAAACTCAGACTCTATCACCTTCTTAACCGCGATAACCGATCCATCTGGTAAAACCCCTTTGTAAACAAAACCAAACCCGCCTCGACCGATGAAATTCTTCTGCGAGAAATTATTCGTAGCCTTCTCTAGTTCCTCAATTTTGAACCAGATTGAGCCAGTGTTTGGTCTCCATTTCGGTCTAGACTCTTGATCTTCCCAACCAACTTCTCCTCCTTTAACAGCTTTACCAAACCGGAAATACAAACAAATCAAACCAGCAATAACCAGAGCCCCGAAAACAGCTCCGGTTATCCCTAAAACCAGAGCCACCGTGTGTCTTTTCTTCTTTGAGCTCAATGGAGATCTCAAACTCAACGAAAAGAGACAAGACAAAGCATCATCACTCTCAGGTCCTTTCTTGTTAACAATACCAGCAGCGTAAAGAACAGCGAAATGGTAACAATAAACACCGTGAGAGCTATTACCGTCCAAAGTGATCAGCTGTTTCTGAACCCTAAACCCAGCCGCCACGCAAGCGTCGCATCGCGTGAGATCGGTGAGACCACTGCTACAAGCAGAATCAAGCGCCGTCGAGGGACCAAGACGAGAGACCCAATCTTGAGTCGTTTGGATTCCAGCACAGGTTTCGTTATTGATGACGAATTGATTCGGATCGAAACAGAGGGAAGTGAGATTCGAAGATAGAGAGAGTGAATTAAGCTTCGTTTGGAGGTTGTTGAGACAAGAGATTGAAGTAGCGAGATTTGGGAGACGGAAGTTGGAAGTTTGTTTGAGACGATGAGCTAGAGGGATTCCGATTAGAGTTAAGACAGATTGGCAACAACTGTTCTTGCTATCAGCTGATTTGTCGTAGCTTCGACAGTCTGTTGTGTTCCATGGGATTGTTAGGACATGAGAGAAATCTAAAGGACAAGTTGGTGATGGTGATTGAGCAACGCAGGCTGTGAGATACAAGGAGAAGAGGAGTGAAAGAAGAAGAAAGAGAATCGGTTTCGGCATGGTTGTGTTGGATTTTGGTGAAATCGGAGATATGGGTTTGGAGAATTTGAGGTTTTTGGTGGTGGAAAGTGAGTGATTGATTTTGGCGGCCATGAGAGTTGAGGAAGATGGGAACAAAAAGTTGGATTCTTTTGGTCAAAGAGGCTGCTTTGATCTGTTGACTTTGGAAGGAACATGGAAACTCAGAGCTTGTCCCCACCTGCAACTGCCAACACTGGCGATGAAACAATTTTCTTAGTGTCCACGTTTCATGTTAATTTTAATGTGGGAAAATAATACTAAGATCAATAAAAATTTGAATTACTTTTAAATGTAGATTTGCATATTTGACATTGGGAAAAATGTCATTAAAATCCCCAACTTATTCAAAACGTTGATTTAAATCCTCAACTCACGACGAAACGAAATAAATATCAAACTTATGTTTACTTTCCAAATAAATATTAAACTTATGTTGACTTTCCAAATAAACACCAAACTTTCATTGACTTGGCCATATTAGGCATGACGTTAAGTGAGTTAACAGACAATGTTAACATGATTAATTTTCTGTTAACAGACCCTCTAATTAAAAATGACAGTATTGTTGAACTATAATCAAATCTCATCTAAGTCATATAACCTAAAGCCGTATTCATATAAGTTAGTTATTTACGTAAGAGTCATGAATGTACGTACGTATAGTTGTGTCTGTTCGTAAAGTTGTGTCTTTTCGATTAACACATGTACGTACACGTTGTTTCGTGTTGTATAAGTAGATCGAGTCAAACTCAATAACATCATTGTGTGTAATACATTTTATCTTATCAATAAGAACAAGTTTCTTCATACTCTATTAAAACAGAGTTCGTTTGTTGATCAAAACACTAACAAGTATTCCTTCTAAACATAAAACGACGTTGTTTTGTCGTAACTGTTCAATAAAATCCCGAGTTTCAAATCATACTCTATTTAGAGTTAGGGATAATGCTCGATTTGGGGATCTAAGATTGACTTTAGGGATTTAATTCAATCGTTACGACATAACGACGTCGTTTTGTTGTTATATGAAACAATGCCGTTATCAATTTACATATATGTTAACAGAAAATTACCTCCGTTAACGAGATCTATTAACCCACTTAACGTCGTACCTAATATGGCCAGGTCAACGGAAGTTTGATATTTATTTGGAAAGTCAACATAAGTTTGATATTTATTTGGAAAGTCAACATAAGTTTGATATTTATTTCGTTTTGTCATGAGTTGAGGATTTATTAACCCACTTAACGTCGAACCTAATATGGTCAGGTCAACAGAAGTTTGATATTTATTTGGAAAGTCAATGAAATTTTGGTGTTTATTTGGAAAGTCAACATAAGTTTAATATTTATTTGGAAAGTCAACATAAGTTTGATATTTATTTCGTTTCGTCATGAGTTGAGAATTTAAATCAACGTTTTGAATAAGTTGGGGATTTTAACGACATTTTTCCCATTTGACATTCAGATTTGCGTCTACTGTTAAGCAAAATTAAATCAAAAATCAAAACGATAAGACAAGAGAAAACTCAAAAAAGGTCAAGTAGAGAGATATTTTTTTGTGCAACCTAGAGATATCATTTAAAACAGTCGACTAAATATCAAATTAGACAGGCTCTTACGTGGAGAGTTATTGCGCTTAGGGGAATGGGGATCCACTATTGCAGATAAAATTAATAATATAGGCAAACATACCAAAGATTGTAACCGAAACAGCTGATCATTCAATATTCTCGTGTACTGCTGCTAAATGTATATTTTGGATGTATATCCATAATCTTTTGATTATTGATACTCCTTCTGTTTCACAAAGAGTATCATTTTAGAGTTTTGCACACAGATTAAGAAAATATTAAATTTTTTGTTTTTTCTAAACAAAAACATCATTAACTATATACCTAAACATAATCTGCCCAATAGTAAAACAATCTGCAGAATACTAATAGTCATAAAACATAAAAAATCATTAAATTTTGCATTGGAAACCTAAAACGACACTCTTTGTAAAACAAAAATAAAACCTTAAAACGACACTCTTTATGAAACAGAGAGAGTATAGTATTAGTGGTTAAACAAATGCTTTCAATCTTTCCCCCAAACAAAAGAAATATACACATGCTTTCAATCGGAAAATATAGATGGTGAGTTTAATACACTGGTATTGAATTTGGACATCCTCTCTCAATTTATTGTTTGAAAAACCTATAAATTTTCTAAAAATTATTTTTAATTTTTAAAAGAAACAGAATTTTCCTAATAAAAGATCCCAAACAACTCGGCTCTTCGTCTGTCTGATAATCCAATTCCTAGACACACGACAAGTTTCCTCATCTTTTCTCTGTTTTCTCTTTCCGCCAATTTCCCCATCACCATCTTCTTGTTCTTGATGCAATGGGGACTCCTCGTTCGCCGGCGACAGATTTCTTCGGAATTTCCAAGACAGCATGCAAAGCCTACAAGTCCCTCGTCACCAAATTGCACCCTCTTTCTTCTCATCGCAAATCCGAATCCCATTCCGACGCCGATTCCGTACGTTCTCATCTTTCTCTAAGAACGCGATTCTCTGATCATCATTTTTATTTTCGTTTTCATATATGAGTAATGATTTTTTTTTTTATTGAATGGTGAAAATTGTTCGCTACATTGATCAAACGGTGAAATATGTGATTTTTCTCGTTAAGGAGACTTTTTTTTTTCCTCTTGGATGATTGTTTGTGAAAAAACCTCTGTTCGAAACTCTGTTTCGTAAAATAAAAATCCCAAATTTGGGTTTCCGTTTTCAATCATCCAAAGATCGTGAGAACAGAATGAATTAAAACGTTTGTTTATAAAAATTTACAGGCAATTCACCGGAGGTATCTAGAGGAGAAATTTGCGGAGGAGGATGATCTCATTGCTGCTCGGAGAGGTCTCCGGCTACAGAGCATGGACGATAGCACCGTCTTCAAACGTCGATCTTCTCTGTTATCAAACTCAAGTAGCCGCCGCAGCCACACGCCGCAAGCTAGACCAACCTACCTCTCTTCCTCCGCTTCTTCCAATCGCCGTTCTGCTTTCTCAAGAAGCGCAAGCCGTAGAGACGAAGGCAGCAGCCACGGCGGAGTGAGAAGCCACGGTTTGAAATCACGTCCGGTATCGAACAACGCAAGTCCGATGACGTCGCCTTTCACGAGTCCGAGAGGGAAAGATCAAACCTTAGGTGATTTATTTGGCTCTGTACAGAAACTTTCGTCTCCTCCAAGCAATAGTCCGATTAACGGCGTGAAACAGTCTTCTCCTTCGTCGATTTCTAAGAGCGCTAGCAAGAGAGATAAAGATGAGAGATGCTCTGCGAGCTCGGCGACGTCGACGTCTCTGCCGTTTTCTAAGAGTAAGAGCACTAGGGATCCGGCTGGATCAATTGCGAAGAGTATAAGCCGGAGGAGCACAACGCCGATAGTGTTTTCGCAGTCTACACCGCCGAAAAAACCGCCAGCTGTGGAGAAAAAGCTTGAGTGTACGTTGGAAGAACTCTGCCATGGTGGAGTGAAGAACATCAAGATCAAAAGAGACATCATTACCGATGAAGGGTTTGTTTCTTGGCTCCTTATCTCATTTTATCTGCATGTTCTCTTATCCTACTCAATGAATAATTCGTTATGTTCTGTTTTGAGCAGATTGATTAAGCAACAAGAAGAAATGTTAAGAGTGAACATTAAACCGGGATGGAAAAAAGGGACAAAGATCACATTCGAAGGAGTAGGGAACGAAAAACCGGGATATCTACCTGAAGATATCACATTCGTGGTTGAAGAAAAGAGACACCCTTTGTTTAAAAGACGCGGAGATGACTTAGAGATTGCGGTCGAGATTCCTCTTGTAAAGGCTTTAACAGGATGTAAACTCTCGGTGCCACTATTGAGCGGCGAGTCAATGTCGATAACCGTAGGAGATGTGATCTTCCACGGATTTGAGAAGGCGATAAAAGGTCAAGGTATGCCAAATGCTAAAGAAGAAGGTAAGCGAGGAGATTTGAAAATAACGTTTCTAGTGAATTTCCCGGAAAAGTTGAGTGAAGAACAACGATCAATGGCCTATGAGGTTTTGAAAGATTGTTCTTGGGCATAAAGGTTTATAGTATACATATGGGTTTCTTCATGCCTTTCACTTATTTTTCTTTGTAAATAATAAGTTGTAATTCGTTGACACTTAGGCTTCTTGTTATATATTTTCTATATAACATTTTGTTTTCTTAGATTGAGCTGTTTTTATATGATTCTTGCTGTGAATGATACAATTGTCTTCTTCTGAATTGTCATTGTTGTGGTCAAGGCTAAGGCATAATTGATTGTTTGGCATTTCTTAATGGCTGACTTCCACAAGGTTTTGTCAAACAACAAATGTATAGCCAATATATATTATACCTTGTAATGCAATATTAAATGACCGCATAGCGCAGTGGATTAGCGCGTCTGACTTCGGATCAGAAGGTCGTGGGTTCGACTCCCACTGTGGTCGCTTTTTGGTATTTTGAGATTTTTGTTTTTTTTTGAGTTCTCCAGGAAATTCACGATTTGATCTTTCACTTACCCAGTTACAAGAGGCTCTCCATTATCATCTCATTGCTTCAGAAACTGTAACTCAAAGAAACACACTAATATCCCTTTTCTCTGTGTGATAGATAACTGAAAGAGCAGTCGATAGACTCTGTTTACAGATTTGGTACTCAATATCTTTAGTATTCACTCAAACACCAGCAGCATTGCTTCACCTCATATCATAATCATAAATATATATAAGACAACATATCCATTAGGTACTTTTCATCCATGATAAAGAAAAGAAAGACATCTCTGTGAACAAAGATGTATGTAGTGAACTTGTCTCTCTAATGTGCCCGAAACTCCATAGAACCTTTATTTGACAGTTAAAGAAAACACGGTCACAGAAGTTTCAGCATTTTCAGTCTTCCTTCGTGCTCTGCATCTAGCTTCGGGGGAGTGTAATTTCCATGAAGATCCTCCACGATGTACTCCTTTGTGAGCTCTCGCTTGGTGAGAATATGATAATGTCTCTGCCATATCCTTTGGATAGCCATAGTAGCAGCAAGAAACCCATAAGCTAGACCAAGAATGGCGAAGATGACGACAAAAACAACAACAAGAGCGAAACATGCTTCCATTGAAGCAGGGAAACAATCCAAGACACCCCATCCATAACAGCAGTTCTGGCATCCAGCCATCCTCGGGTCATTACCATTAAGAGCAGAGCAATGCAGAATGATTCCAAGAAATCCAGTCAGCACAAAGAAGGATACAACCCCTAATATTCATGATACACCAAATGTTTAAACGCGTCTAGATTCGTGATATTCCAAAGGTATATGAAAGGGAGATGAAAGATTCAGTAAATACCAATGCAGTAATAAAAGGGGATGGGATGTTTCGACAATATACGATCCCAATCATCGTTGAAAGAGTTGCGAAACTCTCCGTCCTTGTCCATCATATATGCCAATCCGGCCATCACAGCGATAACCTAGAATATCAACAATATTGTTATTACTAAACGTCAAAAAGATTCAGTGTCTTTCAGACAATCTCTATGGAAAACAGGTTTCAACAATGGCAAGTCATGGTGAGCAAAATGAACAATTTGACAGTCATCAACTTCCACTGTCAATTTCCAAGCATCTACCACGTGAAATTACGCAGTGACCAGGTCAAGATTCGAATCTAGATTCACTTTGTGACCCAGATAATGACAACATACAAAATTATCCACTTTATAATCTCTGCAATTATAAGAACTATGAAGAGAAGCTGAGAGAAAGAGAGATACTCACAGTCTGCACAGCTAAGAATACCAAAAGCACATCTCTTGCGACAAAGAGTCTGAATTTAGCTTTTCGACGCCACGAGTTGTTATCCTCAAAAGGTTCGACTCTCAGATGAAACTGTGCTTTGCAGGTGGTACAGTGAGAGAAAGCAAAACCTTCTTTGACCGAGCGCCAATGATCGAGACATGACCGATGCACGAATTGTTGAGTGCCTTTACACATACAAGGTGATATCAATTCATCACCTAACAATTCACTATCGTCCTCCAAACAAATACGACAACAAGGAGCTGAAGAAGCATCGTTCTCTAAATCTTCAGCCTTTATCTCATCGCTATTTCCTGCCACCACAGACGCAGAAGGAGACGCCGAAGAAGATGAAAATGAAGAATTGGTGTGGTCTCCTAACAAAGGAGCGGAATCACTTAGTTTTTGTGAATCCGGTGGCTGCAATTGTACTTCACCTTGCATCATTGATCAAACCTTCGCTAACCCTAAATTTTCAGAAGAAGGAAAAAATCTGTGGGTGGAAATCAATCGGTGTGATCAGAGGAAGAAGGATTCGAATCGAGTCAAACACATTAGCGTCTCTGTGTTCGTTGATCGGCTGGAGAATAATCGTGCGGGGATGTGAGAAGATTACAGAAGTGGAGAGAGGCAAAAAAAAAAGGTCAATGCGAGAGAGAAAAGAAAGCTTCTTTATTTATTTTGTGAGGAATGAAAAAAAATGGGAAAAAGGAAATGGGGTGAGAGAGGCTCGAACTCTCGACCTCAGGATCACTCAGTAGCTATGAGACCTACGCGCTAGCCAACTGCGCCACCACCCCAACGTTGAGAATCTCTACACGTGTTGATTATTTATATGTTACTATTTTCTTAGCAAAGGAGTGACCACAACACAAATTGCCAAATCATAGTTAAAGCTTTCTTGATGTACACGTAAACATCTAACATTAACCGCCATGTATGAGTTAATCGGTTGAGTTGTTGCTGCTAGATTGTGATTAGAAGATTGCTGCTATAAATTCGGTTTGGAACATTGTATGAAATGGCCTAAATGATACGTAAACCGAATAACCGATTGAGAGAGATATCATCAACTCGGCTTTGTTATTATCGACCAATGGTTGAACCGGCCGGTAAATTCCGGCTATTAAATTGCATTATTAATTTAGGTTCTTTAACGACATTTAGGGGGAAGCACATGAGAGACGCAATAAATGAAAGCAATGAATGAATAAAGAAAGAGAAGACCGTTGGAGAAGACGAGGTAGCAACCATGTGCTTTGGTTTCTACTTGGTACAGCATTCCATGAGCTTTCTCTTCTCTTTGACTATATTTTATTCTATAAAATAAAATGAAGGAAAAAGCTTAACTTTATTAATCACAGATGCAGATCGATTCTCCATTTTTCTCGGGAGAAAAGTTTGTTCTTTCGAGTTTCCCGGAAAATCTCCTCGCCGGAGATGGAGCATATGATGAAAGAAGGGAGGTCTCTTGCAGAGACGCCGACTTACTCTGTTGCTTCGGTTGTTACTGTTTTGGTCTTTGTTTGCTTTCTCGTTGAACGCGCCATTTACAGATTTGGAAAGGTGAGGTTTTTGTTTTGTGTGTGCCTACTATGTGTTTGTTGAAATGCTCAGCTCAAAAAATGAGTGTGAGAATGTATTATGATTTTTGTTTTTCTGCGCTTGCCATTTGGGTTACTCTTGCACCATGATTCGTGAGCTGAAAATGTTTTCTCTGATAATGGGTGCTAGAAAGTGAAAATTTTGATGGACGAGATGTTTCTTCTTGGAGATATGTGGTTATGCTTGCTAAATGTTACAACAGAAATTGTTGAGGTTCTCATTCTATGACAAGCTAATTTTATGTTCTGTTGTGTTTCAGTGGTTAAAGAAGACTAGAAGAAAGGCACTTTTTACTTCACTTGAGAAAATGAAAGAGGGTATGTCAGTGGTGATGTTGTGGTGCTTTAAGCTTTCTTTCTTTTTTTTTCCTTTTATTTTGACTTGTTTAACTTTCTTGGTAGAGTTGATGTTGCTGGGACTTATATCACTGCTCTTGTCACAAAGCGCAAGATGGATTTCAGAAATCTGTGTTAACTCTTCCCTTTTCAATAGTAAATTCTACATTTGCTCTGAAGAGGACTATGGAATCCATAAGAAAGTTCTTCTGGAACACACCTCTTCTACTAACCAGAGTTCCTTACCTCATCATGGAATGCATGAAGCCTCTCATCAATGTGGTCATGTAAATATTCATTTTATCTATCGACTTAAGAGCCTATTTTCCTTTTGACCTTTAATTATATTACTGAACTGGATGTTGGATCCAATTGCAGGGCCGTGAACCATTTGTATCCTATGAGGGACTCGAGCAACTCCTAAGATTCTTATTTGTCCTGGGTATTACTCATGTTCTGTATAGTGGCATTGCCATTGGTTTAGCCATGAGTAAGGTACACATGCTAGCTCCTGAATCTGCTTATATTGTTACAATTTCATGAACAGAACGCTGTACAATCACAGTATTGACTTTTTATCACGTAACACAGATTTACAGTTGGAGAAAATGGGAAGCCCAAGCGATCATAATGGCTGAATCTGATATCCATGGTAAATGACATGACATTCCTGCTTCTCCATCAAATAAAAGCTTGTATGTTTCTTTGATGGGTCTCATCTTGAGGGAACATGAGGAACTGTGTTATCTTAGGATTAGGAGCAGCATGAAACTAGGATTATGTTCAGTATTGAAGGTTGTCCATTCATGAACTCAATTGAGCTGTGGATATGCTATTATGCATCATTTGAAATATCTCTTCTCCTTGACTAGCGGATCATATTCAGTGAACTATTATAAATACAGATATAAGTGAAAATTTCCTTTCTAGCCTAGTCTAATCACTTAAACAGGATTGAAATGAACTGGGTGAACAAGAGATGTACAGTGTTTCCCTGTAAATTCCGTTTTTGACAGAAACAGCTGATTCATTTTCAAAGATTTGCCTAGGATGCTATAATTTTCACAGTAATATATATACTCTTCTTCTTGAATTTGTTCAATAGCAAAGAAGACCAAGGTGATGAAGCGTCAGTCTACATTTGTCTTCCATCATGCCTCTCATCCTTGGAGTAACAATCGTTTTCTCATCTGGATGGTAACTCTCCATGCTTTAACCTTCAACTGTATACTTTTCAAAATTTGCATCTCTCCAGTTAAAGAGCATTCTTGATAAAGATGTTTTTTCATAAGTATTTGAACTGCAGACTATCAAAAACATTTTAGAAGAAAGAACAAAGCCACTTACATGTTTCTCAAGCTATAACAGTAGTATGTTTGCTATTACAGCTCTGTTTCCTGCGGCAGTTTAGAGGCTCCATACGAAAGTCTGACTACTTCGCTCTTCGGTTAGGTTTCCTCACTGTGAGTACCTTTTCTTTGTCTCGTTTCTCAGTCTTTCCTTTCAAATATAAAATATAACTTTCTGTGTAATACTTCTTTGGAGTGAAGGTTGATATTTTCATTCTCAGACTTCTCATCATCTACTCTGGTAGCTGGCAATATTAGTTTGCTGAATCCGTTCTTCATTACTTTGAAATTTCAGAAACATAATTTGCCATTTACATATAACTTCCATATGTATATGGTACGGACGATGGAAGATGAGTTTCATGGCATTGTTGGAATTAGGTATGCGTTTCTGGGAATTGAGATTTTATCAAAGACTCTTTATTCAACTGTTTTCAGACGATTTCGTAAGGGAATTGCAGAATGGGACTGATGAATGTTTCTTGATGAATTAACAGCTGGCCACTTTGGGTTTACGCTATAGTATGCATCTGCATAAATGTTCATGGTAACTTATCGGTTACATAAATATGAACTACATTCCATTTCTATCTCCACATTTAAGCTTTGTTTTTACTAATTCAGTAATTTCATTGCAGGCCTGAATATGTACTTTTGGATATCATTCATCCCTGCCATTGTAAGTAAACAAAGCAAGAGTAAGTAAAAAAAAGCTTGAAATTCATAAGCGCTAACACTCAGAGCATATGTTTGTATCTGTTTTGTTGTTTAAGCTTGTCATGTTGGTTGGAACCAAACTTGAGCACGTTGTCTCCAAGCTTGCTCTCGAGGTTAAGGAGCAGCAGACAGGCACATCTAATGGGGCTCAAGTCAAACCACGTGATGGACTCTTCTGGTTTGGGAAACCAGAGATTCTGCTACGGTTGATACAATTTATCATTTTTCAGGTAAGCAAAAGGACTTTTCCTTTCTCAATTCTACAAGCCATGATTTTACTTTATAAACAGAGATGATCCTTATTTATTTTCTGCTAATGTAGAATGCATTTGAAATGGCAACATTCATCTGGTTCTTGGTAAGGCCACCTTATAAAATGCATCAATACTTAAATCAGCTATGCAATTTTTTAAGTTTTTGAAAAGATCATCAATTTCATGTATCAGTGGGGAATCAAGGAAAGATCTTGTTTCATGAAGAACCATGTGATGATATCAAGCAGACTGATTTCTGGGTGCGTTTCAAATACACAACAATTTGCAGCAACCCACTGTCTCTGAGGGTTTTCATCTTCTGTTGAATGCAGGGTTCTCGTTCAGTTCTGGTGTAGTTATGGCACTGTGCCCCTCAATGTAATTGTCACTCAGGTTCGTCTAACCTTTTCATATATTTATATCTACAAGTTCCATAATCTTAAGCCTATCCAGGTCTATGACTAAACATCGTTCATCAAAATTTTATGGATTCACCTGAATCTGAACAGATGGGATCTCGGCACAAGAAAGCTGTGATAGCAGAGAGCGTAAGAGACTCACTTCACAGCTGGTGCAAGAGAGTGAAAGAGAGGTCTAAGCACACGAGATCAGTGTGTTCCCTTGACACAGCAACAATAGACGAGAGAGACGAGATGACAGTGGGGACATTGTCTAGGAGCTCATCGATGACTTCACTGAATCAGATTACCATAAACTCCATAGACCAAGCAGAGTCCATATTTGGAGCAGCAGCTTCTTCGAGCAGTCCTCAAGATGGGTATACCTCGAGGGTGGAAGAATATCTGTCTGAAACATACAATAACATTGGTTCGATGCCGCCTCTAAACGATGAGATTGAGATTGAGATTGAAAGTGAAGAAGATAATGGAAGGAGAGAGAGTGGGAGTGAGGAGAATAATGGAGAAACACTTCTTGAGTTGTTTAGGAGGACTTGATCTTGTTTCTACTTTTAGAATCTTGGTTAAGTTGTAAATTACTGGACAAGCATACAAGCATACGTTAACAAAAGTAAATCTTTCGTTGGTCCTTCACTAAGGTGGTGGCATTTCGATTTTAATCGGTTTTTGGTAGGTTTAATTACTTGGGTTTAGGAATTTTCTTTTCTTGTGTACGAGATCATCCACAGTTTTATTCATGTTATAGGCTTTCTCCATGGTTGATGATAAATTGATAAGTATGGTACATCTTCAGACTATATAGTAAGAAAATTTTGTTGATACCACTATACAAACAAAGAAAATAAAAGAAAAGAAGAAGAAGAATAGAATGTATATTGGGCCTAAAAGGCCTGGCCCAGTGTGCAACAAAATAGCCGTTGGTCCGTGTTTTTGTTTTCTATGGATGGATAAGCTTGGAGAGGTGTTGTACGTAACAGTACGGAAACGACTCATGATGAAAAAGTAAAATAAATAGTTTTCCAAAAGGGGGCTGCAATTTTGGCGTGTTTCTTTTGTGAGAGAAAGAAGAAGACGACGAAGAAGAAGCGAGTGAGCAACACTTGTCAAGAATGTCGAATCTGTGGGCTATTCTTGCGTTTCTCTTGATCCACGCAGCTGACGGGTCGATTCACGAGTACAACAACCAAGACTTCACCAAAATCGCAAATGCTCGCTACTTTTTTGGTGGTTCCGAAGGAATCTATGGTTCTGAGTTTCTGGATGTTCATCCTTCTTCTGATACACCTCTGCTCAAGGGGAACTCCTTCATCAGGTACGCATTTCGTTTTCTCTTCTGATTTGTGTTTGTTTCCCGCTGAGTTAGGGTTTCATGTGTGACTTTGATTTTATAGTGTGAGCTTGTAGATTTGGGTTTTACTGCTTCTTAGGTACTGGATTTTGCTCGTTTTGTCTAGTGAATCCATGGACATTACAACGATTTGGTTTCCTTGGTACTGGATTTTGCACTTTGGTGTAGCGTTTCCAAGGAAATTTCAAGATTTAAATGTATACGAGCTTGTAGATTTGTATTACTGTTTCTTAGGGATTTACTTGTGCATATGTAGATGGGGATTTTTGGTGCTGTTTTATGTTTTTGTAGGTTTGATGATATCACTTTTGTACGAACCAAAGAATCTGCTAGCAAGCAGAATTCCACTCAGGTGACTGCAGGCTTGGTTGAAGCGATACTATTTGAGGTGAAGCAGAAAGACAGAGTTGGTGGATCTTTTTTCAAATCTGAGGACATGTGTTGTACGCCAAAACTTGCAGATGCTGGTTCCTGCAAACTTGGCGAGGTTATGATTAGTGCAGATCCTAATGATCCTGAATGGCCTAAGCGGATTCCCACTTTTTTCAAAAGGAGTGAGGAAGAGGTAAAGATGTCTCCGGAAGCTGTGATTATAAAGAAAACTGGATGGTACACTGTTTACTTCATGACATGTGATCCGGAATTGGATGGCACCACAATCAGAGGAAGAACAGTTTGGAAGAACAGAGGTGGCTATTTATAGGGAGATAAAGCTCCTTTGATGAAGTTCTACGCCTCCATGCTTTTGGCTTATGTGGTTCTTGGCCTACTTTGGTTTCCACAAGTTGCTCAGTATTGGAAGGATGGAATCCAGTTGCACGGTCATATCAGCTGGTAATTGTATTTACCATGGGTGAATTGGCCTTCCTGTACTTTGACTTCGCTTATCTCGACTCAGCTGGTACAAGTCCTATGGAGGTTACAGTATGGGCAATAACCCTTTCTTCCATGAGGAAGGCACTCTCCCGGCTTCTACTGTTGGTCATATCTTCAGGCTATGGGATAGTGAGACCTACCCTTGGTGGCATAACATTGAGGATGCTTCTTATTGGTGTCCTATGCTTTGTTATAAGCGAATCTCTCGGGTTGGCTATGCAATTTGGGAAATTTTCTGAAAATGGAATGACTTTCCTAATGCTCTCTTGGGCTATACTGGAAACTTGCTTTATCCAGTTGATTTTCAGATCCTTGTGGAAAACGCTTAAGAAGCTTAAGGTAAGAAAGAGCAGACAATCCTCCTTTTCATTTGATGATTGATATAGGTACACTGATTGCTACATGTTTATAAAATATCACTTATATATTTTTCCTGCTAATTGTTGAAAGTTCTACAAAGATCCATTTCTTCTTAAATTTTTCTTCCCTGTTAATCCCATCTTTTTCTTATGTAGCTGAATAAGAGGAACATTGCTAAGCTGCAGCTCTACAAGAAGTTTGCAACTATGCTTGTAACCATGATGGTGCTCAATTTTGCCTGGTTTTATGTGCAGGTAACAGCTCGCTAGTCTACTGATAACTTTGGGAAAATTACTTGAAGAAAGTCATAAGATTGCGTGACTGAATTTTTTTTTTGAATAAGGTATATGTCTACAACTCTCTAAGTGAGTTTTGGCAAGTGAAGTGGATGATCCCAACACTTTGGTACTCTCTTTCTTATGCACTATTGGTACTGATTTGCCTCTTTTGGCCTCCATCGGAAAAACCAATGAGGTATGGTATCAATCTCTCTCTATCCTCTTTTGCCCTTTTATCAATCGGGTGCGTATGTGGCCTGTTTTAAGTTCCACACTAAGATCTTGTGTGTTTAATTCTAACATGTGTGAACTTTGTATATCTGATCTTCTCTGTTGCTATTTACATATTTGTCTGATGTATATATACTGGTTTGAAATTGTAGGTACCTATACGTAGCTGACATGGTGGAAGAGGCTGAAGAAGATGATCTCTCCGTTGCAGAAACCGGTATGAACGTAACAAAGGCTGAAGATGGCGATGTTGAGAGGTATGAAAGGAAGACTCTTCTGGAAGCATTCATCATATTGCTTGGGAATTTACCAGGGGAGAGGTGAAACCCCCATCTTACAAAGTTACCGTACTTTTAGCTAAAGCTGCCTGCTAGTCATCCATTTTCAGCTTAAGCTACTCCTAACCTACGGCTTTTGGTGTGTTTTAAGTTTTTTTGAACTCCTATAATCTTCTCTGCAGTAATCGGATTTTCTGTTTCATGAACTTGTTGGTAGTGGAACAAATGGAAAATGAATATTTTGGAACAAAAGAAACAGTTTTAAGTTGCAATCATTATGTCTTCCATTGAAATAAGCATTTGCAGTTACCTCTCGTTCAACTGTACTACTTGGCAACTATCAATTCAATATACTAAACACAAAAAGAGTCTCAGTGCATTTAGTAGCAATAAAATATAGATTAGCAAATGCATTTGCATCATCAATCCATAGGTTGTTATTTTATCCACACAAAAAAAAAAAAACAAATGTTTTACAATCCCAATATTTACATCGAAAAAGACAGAAATCACTCCTTTATTATGTTTTGTTTTAAAGAAATAAAAGTGAAGAATAACGCGATAATGTCGACATTTTGCCTAAGAATAGACAAGATTGGGAAGCTCTGTTAAAATCGCGTCGGTCTCTGATGAGTGATCAACTGCCACGGAGCGAACCAATTCGTAATTGCAACGTCCTGAGAATGTCGACACTCTTTCACTCTTTCTCCAAGTTGCCTCCTTTTCGATTTCTCATATTTTATAGACTCACTTTCTGCTTCTTCTTGATCCCGAGGAAGAAGAAGAAACTCTTGTTCCCATGATCATCGTCGATGTTAGTCTAATCCTCTCCTTGAGATTCGATTCATCTCTCCAATTCTTTATAACCCGAATTTATGGTTTTATAATTGTGAAATCTGATTTTGGATTCTCTCTTCTTGTTCCTATAGGTTCTTTGGAAACTGTTTCCTCTATACTCGTTTGGATCAGAAAGAGATTCTCTCTCAGGTATTTCATCGAACACTTACCCTACATTTCAGTGAGATTCTTCTTCTTCCTCTCAATTCCATATTTGGAAATTTTTGTTTGCTGTAGAATTCTCCATCTTCTAATTGAGATTTAGCTGAGAAAATTAGTGAAATGAAATGAGATTTTCCTTTGATTGCTAGATTCCAAAACTTAAGCTTTTTCTGAATTGCGTTATCTGTTGTTATATGGACCATGGAAACATCCAAAGAGTCCATTTTGCAGATAATTCCCGAGACAATGGCTTCTTCTACCACTAAAATCCTCTGTGATGCCGGTGATTCAGACCTCTGTAGAGACGATTCAGCTGCATTTCTACTCAAATTTGTAGCCATTGCCTCCATTCTATTAGCTGGAGCTGCTGGTGTAGCCATACCTCTCATTGGCAGGAACCGTCGGTTCCTTCAAACCGAGGGAAATCTCTTTGTAGCTGCTAAAGCCTTTGCAGCTGGTGTCATACTCGCCACTGGCTTTGTCCATATGCTTGCAGGCGGCACGGAAGCTCTGAGTAATCCGTGTTTACCAGATTATCCGTGGTCTCAGTTTCCCTTTCCCGGTTTCTTTGCTATGGTGGCTGCTTTAGTTACTCTGCTTGTGGATTTTATGGGGACACAGTACTATGAGAGGAAGCAAGAGAGGAATCAGGCTGCTGGTGAAACCGCTGTTGTTGAGCCTGGTCGTGAAGAGACTGCTGTTGTTCCCGTGGTTGGGGAAAGAGTCAACGATAATAAAGTATTTGGTGAAGAAGACGGTGGCGGGATTCACATTGTTGGCATTCGTGCTCATGCTGCTCACCATAGGCATAGTCACTCTAATAGCCATGGTACATGTGATGGACATGCTCATGGACATTCACACGGACATGGACATGGACATGTGCACGGGAATTCAGATGTTGAAAATGGAGCTAGGCATGTTGTTGTTTCTCAGGTTTAAATCTCTTATCCCTTGTCACAAACTGTGATTCATATATCAAAGTAGAAGCTAGTGTTTGTGTTATGATTAGGCCTGCAAACACTTTAGAACCTCAAAAGCTAGCTTGTATAAGTTGTTTACTAGTCCTCCTCCTTTGCAATGTGGTATCTATACATCATCTTATCGATTGATCTCACCCTTTTTTTTATTGATTTTGCAGATATTGGAGCTTGGGATTGTGTCGCATTCAATCATTATCGGTTTATCCCTTGGAGTATCGCAGTCTCCATGCACGATCAGGCCTCTCATTGCAGCTCTGTCATTTCACCAGTTCTTTGAAGGATTTGCGCTCGGAGGCTGCATCTCTCAGGCACAGTTCAGGAACAAATCAGCAACCATAATGGCTTGCTTCTTCGCGCTAACCACACCGATAGGGATCGGAATTGGAACCGCAGTGGCCTCGTCTTTCAACTCGCATAGCCCTGGAGCTTTGGTCACCGAGGGGATATTGGACTCGCTGTCAGCTGGGATTCTGGTGTACATGGCTCTGGTGGACCTCATCGCAGCTGATTTTCTAAGCAAGAGGATGAGTTGTAATGTGAGGCTTCAAGTTGTGTCTTATATAATGTTGTTCCTTGGAGCTGGACTTATGTCTGCTCTCGCCGTTTGGGCTTAGCTTTTAGATTACATATTATCTCATGTAGAATCGAATAATATACTGCTCATGCAACTTCATATTTTTGCCTTGATTCATATGAATATAATAAATAGAGGAACATATTAGAAATAATTAGATGTTAAAAACCAACCAAAGTTGAAGAACAAAACATTGAAATTGGTTATTATTGATTGATCTTTTAAAAGGATGAGCCAAATTAGGGCGACATTAGCGAAGTAACAAGAGAGATGACTTATACATCAAGTTATTTCTCTTTTGATGAAATTCATCAAGAAGCTTAAATTTTTTACATAATGGCTTCTTCTTTGTGGGTTTCGATGACGACATCAGAAGTCGGATAAGCCACACAGGTCAAGACATAGCCTTCGCTGATCTGTTCATCGTCTAAGAAGCTCTGGTCCGACTGGTCAATAGAGCCAGAGACGACTTTCCCGGCGCAACTTGAGCAAGAACCGGCACGGCATGAGTACGGCAAGTCAATTCCGGCTTCCTCAGCAGCGTCGAGGACGAAGACATCTTCTTCGCACTCCACTTCTTGTTCTCCCTCAGGTGTGATGAACTTGACCTTGTAGGTAGCCATGGCAGTGATGCGGCCGCCGCGAGCGGTAGAGGATTTGAGGCCGAAGATAGATTGTGTGTTGGCCAACGGGAGAGACCTGAGGCTGATTGGTGTCTGTTGACGGCGGAGGAAAGAGGTGCTTACGATTGCGCTGGAGAGAGCAGTGGAAGCCATTGTTGAAAGATGATGATGATTCTACAGATTCTGTGAGTAGGTGTGGCTTTGAGAAAATGGCGTAGAAACTGAGAGGGCGAGAGGATTATAAGGAGGTGTATCTGCCACGTGGCGTACGATGTGTGGGCTCTTGTGTTATCTACTTGTTGATTGTCTATGTGTTACAATCGTGCACTGTTTCGTTGGTGAGAGTAAATATGTGGTTCGGACATGGGACAAGTCGCCATCAGAATATGGGACTAGGAAGATTCTAGGCTTGTTTGGGTTCTACATTGCTATTTATAAATTTCTTTTTGCTGATATACTATAAATTGTCTTTTTTTTTCCCATTTACACTATCAACATGGAAACAAAATCTGCATCTCGATTAATTTGTTTTATGCCTATTTTAGTATCTCTTTTGCAATTTTAATGCTCGCAGGTCCCACTAAGTTTTCAGATTGAACCAATGCATGTAACTGAGTCAGAATTTTCTTAGAAAGGGACTTGACGGATATTATAACCCAATAAACTCACTACCCCATGAAACCAAATTAACACCATGAACGAGAGTTAACGTCTCCCAAGTCCCAACACATGACAATAATTCATCCAATTGCTCCTAGAGGACAACATATTCAATGATCTAGGTGAGGGTGAAGTAAATATGAACCAAAAAAAGATAGGGAAAAAGATTACAGGTAGTAGTAGTATAGTACACCCACTCGATTCTAATCTAAAGAGAACAATTCACTTACCAAAATGGGAAAGAAAAAAAAAAAAGAAGAAGAAAAAAGAAGATGAAGAGACAAAAAGCCCCCATTGAAGAATATATTATGTTCCTTCAATATAATATATAACCTCATAAGAAGCTTTCTTCTAATTGGATTTGTTTTCTCTCTTTTTTTCCCGTTTACCTCTTCTAGTCGCACTTGATGTTTCTGTAGATCCTCCTTACAAACAGATTTGATCCCAAGTATCCAACAGCTCCTGCAAAATTTTCACAAGAGAAGGTTTAATCAAATCAATAACACCACTCGCTAGTTTGAAGAGAGTGGAGAAAGTGAGCTGACCGCAAAGGATTCCAAGGCCGAGACAGAACATCATGGTGTATCCAAAGTAGAAGCTTGTCTGGAAGAATCCGGACATCTTGGTCTTTACGTAATAGTAATAGATGGAGTATAAGTAGACATAGACAGCCGTCGAAGCAGCAGAGAAAAATGAAGTCCATTGCCAGTGATAGTTCTCTGCATTCAGCAGGAAGTATGTACCCACAATTGTCACACACACCGTCACTATGACGAGAATCACAAAAACCAGTAACATGAATCCATACACATAGTAGACCTGTTGAGCCAAAAAAAAAACCGACAACTTTCAGAAATAGAAAATATATTTTACTTTAGATGATAAGCAAAGACAAAGTGGGTCTACTTAAAGAAGTTCAGCTGCTCAAACTTTAGCTACAGGGCTACTACAACTAGCCTAGGTTTTAATGTTGCAGATCGTAGCTGTTGTGAGATGATGGTTAATGAGCAGTTAGAGAGGGCTGGATTACAAAGGCTGTCTAGGCCGATTGCTGAAGGGGGTAGATTTTTAGGGGTTTGGTTGAGAGTTGAGAGTCTCTAACTAATCAAATCTCTCTGCTTTGGTCAACTGGAATAAGAATTAGCAGTTCCATAGCTTTGTTCTTATCAAAGAAACTATTTTTACCTTGTAATTCCAGAAGGATGTGAAGACAAAGTACATCTCAATGAAGATGCTTCCAAAGGGTAGTAAACCCCCCATCAGGGAGACAACTGATGGAGTCAAGTACCATTTTTTCTCAGGGATTGGACGTGGAATGGTCTTCACACGGCATGGATTGTTAGGAGCACCGCTCCAGTTTCTTCCAACAACCGTTCCGAGGAGGGCTAAGGGGAAGGAAATGAACCCCCAAATTACAAACACAACCACCATTGTCCCAAAAGGAATAGCCGCAAGAGATCCATAGAATATGGCAATTGTGTTTAGGAGAAAGCCAATTCCGAAGCACAAAAAGGGAAAGAGAGAAGCCGTGAGGACCATGCACTTGATCCAATGTTTACCTGAATAAACCAGCATTTAAATTACTTGAATAGTTAGAGAGGAAAGTAACACTGGAGGGGTCCGCCAAGTCGAGTAAGTCATACCCCCGCTTCTTGAGTACATTCCACCGCTCACGTAACCAGAGACAAAGGAAGTCAGAGCATAGCAAACTATGAAAGTTGTGACGATTGCTCCTCTCCTGAAATAATTAGAATACGAGGTGAGCAAAATCCGAATATAAAAGCCAACCAAAAATACTAAAAAGAATGTAGGGAACAACAACACAACATAGGTCGCAAGAGAAAAGAAGAGTGTAATACGTACCCAACGTAGAGAGTTCCCACGATGGCCATTAATATGACAAGAAGAACCAGTAACGCCAACTGTGCACCTGTGCCAACTACAGCTGAGAGTAGAACTAGACTACTTGCTGGCCTGAACACATCTCCATGTACAAGTTTCCAACCAGATTCTTCACTTACATCCCGTTCCTGTACCCACCAATACTAATGTCAGAAATGTCTATGCAGCCTCGCATATATAAATAAAGAAAGAAGTGTTGGACAGACTGCTCGTGAGTAGTAACAGCAAAAAAAAAAAAAAAAAAAAATGTGCAGCTAATGACAAATAAAAGTTGAGGAGACATCACCAAGCTCTCAAGATCATCATCTTCTCGAGCATACTTTGCATAATCATTTCTGAGAGTCCTCATCAATATCATTGAGACCAAACCAGTGAGGAAAATAACCATCATGAACGAGTTAAAGATGGAGAACCAGTGGATCTGCCAAAAAATAAAATAAAAAACTCTTAGAAGGCTTATAAAGCTTGAACAGAAATCTTGAAGAGATGGAATATAGAAATTTGGTAAATTCTTGTAACAATAATTATGGCTTGCACTTATGAACAAGCATGAAATGGGATATTCAGTGTGATACATTATAAACCTGTGAGCCATTCTGAATCACAGACATTAGCAGAAGGGTTAAAATACATAGCATGCTAAAAGTTACCTGGTGTTCAAAGAACGGATAATCAAGATAGACGTCAAAGCGGCGAGCAAATGTGACATTTGTTGGAATCCATTGCACAGAATACGTCAGGTCCATTTTTTTCCCTGCTTCCAATGGCCTTGGGTTGTCTTGAGTGAGATTAACATGAATGATCTATTAAAATAGATAAATAAGATCACAGCTGTAGTTCACATGATATCCATACAATTGCTTAATGGCGTAGCAACAACCGACCTGGTCTTTGTTGTATTTGACAACAATGTTCTTATGTGTGTAGAGGACATGCTTGCCGTTTTCACTATTTTTGTCAGGATGCAGCTCACCCACAAAGCCTACAACAGCAATGAGACAGTATTATAACTATATAAAACTAACAAAGAAAATAATAAATTTTGGATGTTTCAAGTAAATATACAAAGTTCATACCCCACAAAGGTAGATCATCTGAAGTTAGAACCACCAGATGAAAGTCCATGCAAATCATGCCACAGAAAAAGTGAGAAATAAGGTTAGCAATCCAAAGAAGTAATGTAAGATTATATATCCTACAACATCCAATGCCGTAAATGATATTCGTAATGCAGTGAAGATAAAAATAGGAATAATTTAGATTTGCATGATGAAAGAATAACCAAAGGAAATTGTAACATCTTAGATATTAAATCAGCTTTATTTTCATGCTATTTCAGTGGCAATATGTACAAGAGAATGTGAAACATACCCATAAAAAATTCAAACCAGTAGCTAGATTCAATTGCATCTTTGAAATGCTTGACCTTAGCTTCATCGAGTTCAAGCGGACAGATGACATTTCTATCGACATTCTCTGTGGAAAAACAGAAAAGGTATTGTAATCAGAGCACAGGTAAGATAACTAGTATGAAAAAGAAGCTCGTCTACGAATTGAAACATACTCAAGAACTTTATCGCAATCTCACTGTCAATCAGCTCATTTCCACCAAGAACTTCACCAAGACCACCCCATTTGTGAACATTGTTTCCAGATGGGCGGCAAAATGGAAGACTGTAATAGTTGTATGTTTCTTGTGGATTGTTATATGGGCCAACTTTGTTCACCCACAGGGTAACCTGCTCATCGGCTTGATACTGAAAAAGGTGAAAGCAAAATCATTGACTTGACAGAAATGCAAAGAAATGTTGGGATCAACAAGTAAGAGATAGTAAGAACCAAAATTCCATTAAAGAGAACAGACTAAATGTCAAGCGTAGACAGTAGACAGACAGATATTGATAAGGGCATAGTCCAATATCATTTCAAGAATCAAGAGTTAAAAATGTCTACACACAAATGACTCAGATTTACTAGAAAGATGACACTGTGATCTTATTTTTCCTGAGTGTGCAGCACAAACAGAAACATATAATGTACATAGGTAAAATGAGTTTTTCTGAGTATATGTTATTTGCATCATTCCAAATTGTTTGGTTCGCACAGAAATAATGGCCTCTAGACTAATCCTCTTATAAAGCTACCAGATTGCGCTAGAATAATGCATAACCCGCCTTTATTTATCATCTTTCAAGTAGAAAAGATTTAGTTGGAATTGAATTTAAATGTCACACTACTTGTGAGTGTAAGAAGGCAGAGGAGCAAACACATTAAAGCCCTGGATCTCATGATCTCCAATATCACAAAAGACAAGAACGTTTTTGAGCTGAAACTTACCATCAGCAAAAGAAGCCAGGTGTGACACTTCCAGTATTACATTTTAGATACAAATTGAAAAACTTATCTACAGTTACTTCTCGCGACCTCAGAGCTATAAGATCTACATCTCGAAGATATTAGTAAATTAAATGCCACTCAGTTACAACATAACTCAGTAATGATCCAAGTATTTGAACGTCAAACAGACTACCACGTGCAAAAACTGGGTTTCTGAGTATCCAATCAAAGAGAATCCCAATCCCATAGCAAAATTTATAACTAATTTCGAGATTGCGAAAAGCCTAAATCACAATGAAGAGAAAAAAAAAATACTCCTAGACTTGCAACGAAAATGTAATTGGATGGAAGCTCGAGGATCCTACCTATCCGAAAACGAACAGATCCATGAAAAAAATTCAATCGCAAACACCATGCAAATCACGAGATCTACGGACACAGTGCTCGATTTCGAGCTGCATTAAAATAAAGAAACGACTGGAGATCCGAGTCATACCTTGTGATCTGAATCGGATGCGAACGTAGGAGTGAGAAGGGAAACGAGAAGAAGAAACACGACGACGGCGGAGGAGGAAGACGGCATCGTGAAAACCGGCGGACGATCAGATCTGAGGAATGACGGAGGGAGAGATACCAATCGAGGAGAGAGCGAGATCCTCAGCTCAGTGTTTCACTTTGTAGAGATTTTGGGTAATACAAAAACGATAAGGCTCACAACTTCTTTTTGCTCTATTAATTGGGCATATAGTATTTAGTTTAAGCCCATCTAAGGTCTACTATTGGTTTAAGCCCATCTAAGGTCTATTAATGGTTTTGGAGACGAAACGTGTGAACCATATGCGAACATCATTTTGTTTTCTTCCGTATATATTGAAAATGTTTAGAAAAGTAGATGAAAATCATGACATAAATTCATTGAAAGGTTACGTTTGGGTGACAATCTCCATAGAGAAAAGTGTGATTTATGGACAATGATTCTCTCTACATAGAACTAAAAGAATCTAAGGCGAATCAGCTTTCTCCTGATAACACTCGTGTCGTGTAAATAGTGTAAAGTTGAACATCACTATTATGTTGTTCTCTTAAAATTTTGTAATGCGTTGTTTAGGTTTTTTTTTTTACTTGTAATCTTAAAAATTATGATATTTAAAAAAAAAAAAAAAAAATATGATATTAGGGGGAAAGAAAAAAAAAGCGTGTTGGTGACTTAAAAAATCGGAATTATGCACTCGAATCAGCAAGGGAAACAACATGTATGGATCGCATGGAAACTTGTGGGTCCCATTTTCTTAAAAAAAAATCTCATATATTAATTTAATAATAAAAAAAAAACATCATGAGAGTTTGTTTAGCCAGGGAGGGAGATTCTTCATTCTCATCATTACTTCTCTATTAATTTCACCCAAAAAAAAATCCAACAAGACGAAAAAAAAAGGTTGATTCTTCGCTTTGCCTTGAAATCTCTCCAATCCAAATCTCAAATTATCCTTCCATCGTCATCTCTCTTTCCTTTTTTTCACTTTCTCTGCGAATCGCGAGATCTCGGAATCGCATCCTTGATTTTGGGATACTGTCTGGGTTTTTTTTTTTTGTCTTGTTTCATTTTTATGATTTCACGTGAAATTCTTAGCTGCTAGGTCTAGAACTGGAGTTGGAATTTATAACGAGAATTTTGGAGATTTTTTTGTTGGGTTTTCCTTTCTGTTTTGTGTGTTGGAATTAGGGTTGTCGATTTTGGCGAGCGCGAGAATGGACAAGTACGAGCTGGTGAAAGACATAGGTGCTGGGAATTTCGGAGTGGCCAGGCTCATGAAGGTCAAAAACTCTAAGGAACTTGTTGCCATGAAGTACATCGAGCGTGGTCCTAAGGTTTATTCTTCTCTGCTTATTTCTAGTCTGCAATTTTGTAGAGTTGTTATTATATCTCTATGAAGATTTGTAGAATGAGTATTTACTCTGTTGTTTTTGTGGATACAGATTGATGAGAACGTGGCAAGAGAGATCATTAATCACCGATCACTTCGCCATCCGAATATAATCCGGTTTAAGGAGGTTAGTGAATTTCTTGCTGCTTGACATAGGTGTTGTTCTTGCTATGATGAAAATGTTTCTTTTGATGTTGATAATCTTATAGCTTTCCTCTTACATTCGTTGTGGATTTTACAGGTGGTGTTGACTCCAACCCATCTTGCCATTGCTATGGAATATGCTGCTGGTGGTGAACTATTCGAGCGTATATGCAGTGCTGGAAGATTTAGTGAGGATGAGGTGAGCTTGGCATTTGAAACTGTGGCATGTTTTTTTTGCTAATATGCAAGTACTATTAGGACAAAGTTTGGATTTCTGTATGGTTAGAGTAGGAGGAAGGGAAGAAGAGAAAACTTGTGAACCTATTCTTATTTAGTATCAAGCATTAAACAATTGGGGTGTACTTTCTAATCCTTTTTCTCTTTTCCAGGCGAGATACTTCTTCCAACAACTTATATCAGGTGTTAGTTATTGCCATGCTATGGTAAGGCAGAGAAATGATTTAAGCAAGATTCACTTTATCCCTTGGATGTTTGAAGTCGTTCTTTTAATCATGTGTTGGCTATTTTGTTGCAGCAAATATGCCACAGAGATCTGAAGCTCGAGAATACGCTCCTGGATGGAAGTCCTGCTCCACGTCTGAAAATCTGTGATTTTGGTTATTCCAAGGTTTGACTCTAAAAAAAATATCCAAGTTCTCCCCTTGTCTGCAAGATCCTCTTTTGTTCGTCCCCTTTGTAGTAAAAGAATTGTCAAGTGATTTGTTATTCTCTTTTTGTAGTCCTCTCTGCTGCACTCTAGACCCAAATCAACAGTTGGAACTCCAGCGTATATTGCACCTGAGGTCCTTTCTCGGAGAGAGTATGATGGCAAGGTAATTAATGCAATGTTACATAATAAACCAATGAGTGCTTATGAAACTGTCATGCTCTTTACATTTTTGCTTTTGAAATCAAAACGTCATCTTCGTGGAAGTCGCTAAAGATTTGAAGCATCTTTTCCTCTTTCAGATGGCTGATGTATGGTCCTGTGGTGTGACTCTTTATGTCATGCTGGTTGGAGCGTACCCATTTGAAGACCAGGAAGACCCCAAAAACTTCAGGAAAACAATACAAGTAGGTTTCTTTTTTGAAGCCATGTGTATATCTTGCTTTCAATATGCTACATCCTATTCATTAATGTGTGATCTTCTTATACAGAAAATAATGGCTGTCCAGTACAAGATCCCGGACTACGTCCATATCTCACAAGATTGCAAAAATCTCCTTTCCCGTATATTTGTCGCCAATTCACTCAAGGTATACATCAATCAACTGAACTAAATGTTTTCAAAAGATGTTTTTTTTTTTTTTCTGAGCAATTGAGCTATTTCTTGTTTTTGTAGAGGATAACCATTGCAGAAATCAAGAAACATCCATGGTTCCTGAAGAATTTGCCAAGGGAACTCACAGAGACAGCTCAAGCTGCATATTTCAAGAAAGAGAACCCAACCTTCTCCCTCCAGACCGTTGAAGAGATCATGAAGATAGTGGCTGACGCCAAAACACCGCCTCCTATTTCCCGGTCCATAGGAGGTTTTGGCTGGGGAGGAAATGGAGATGGAGAGGGAAAGGAGGAAGATGCAGAAGACGTGGAGGAGGAAGAGGAGGAGGAGGTGGAAGAAGAGGAAGACGATGAGGATGAATACGACAAGACTGTAAAGGAAGTACACGCAAGTGGAGAAGTGAGAATAAGTTGATAATTTGGTTTTTGGTCTGTGTAAGAAAGAAGTTTGTCGTTGGTTTGTTGAAACTGAAAAGTCTCTGTTCTTGTGTTTGCCTTTACAATGCTTTGGCTATGGTTTTGGAGATTTGTAAAATTTGCAGTATAAGAAGAACAAACAGAGGTTGATGATGAGTCATTTGCTACGCATGATGGTACTATGAACATTGTGACCTCGAATAAATATTTTTGTAAATTAGATTTTATTTTCCGGAAAGGATTCATGTACTATTTGATTATTGGATTTCTTAAACCAAAATTTTTTTCGTTTCTTTTCATTACCCGAAAATGCAAAATTATAAAATACAAATGTAAACAATAATAATATCCAACTAGATTTTAACCCGCGGCTATAATTTTTTTGAAAATTATCTATTGCTCTGTTTGATTTAAATGTACTTATTATATATATTACCCCGCATTAAACCCGCGGATCGATTTTTGATAACTAAATATTGAAATTTTAAGTTGAATTTATTTTGTTTAGCATTTATTGTATTTTGATAGTTAATTATACGATTTCACTCGTAGTACCGCCTCGTAATAATATTGATTCAAATCCGTCATACCATATAACCCTGTCCCGTGAAATTAAACATTATTTTGTTATTGTTTTTTATAATATTTTAATTTAAAAGACATATATAATTTGAGTCAATTAAAAAGTTTGCTTTAAATGGCTCCCAAAATATATATATATATATATTTTAATTGTTATAGAGTTCAAATATCATTAATATTATAAACTTTTTATAAAATTTAAATATTATAAATACTTTAAACGTTTTATCATCTTAAAATATTTACAATGTTTAAACTTCTTATAAATTCTTATAAAGTTTAAATATTTATAATACTTGAAACTTCATAAAAGTTTTAATATTGACCCAAACTTCATAATTGTATTTTGGTTGTTAATTCTAAGATTTCACTCGTAGTATATCGTTCCGTATTAATATCGACACAAACCCGTCACACCATATAATCTCGTCCCGTGAAATTAAACATCATGTTATTTTTCTTTTTAATAATAATTTTATTTAGAAGACATATAATTAGAGTTCATTTAAAAGTTTGTTTTTAAATTGTCTCTATAGTATATATATTTATAATTTTTATAGAGTTCAAATGTTATTAATAGATAAAGTTTTTTATAGAATTGAAATATTACAGATACTTTTAAAGTTTTATAAAATTTAAATATTTATAATATTTAAATTTCTTATAAGTTAAAAATTAATAATATTTAAAATTCTTATAAAGTTAAAATATTCATAATATTTGAAACCTAATGAAATAATAATAATCTAAAATAACATATTATTCCGTATACATAAATAATATTTATATATTTGGTAATAATGTTTTTTTGGAGTTAATCTAATTTATAACTAAACAAATTATTTATAGCCAAAATGAGTTTGGTTTATAATAAGTAATATAGCAAAATGAGTTTGTCAAATAACGAATAGTAACCATAATTTAATGAATGTACATTAAATTAAATATATTTAAAAAATGAATTACTTAAAAAAATTGATTTTGTCAAAATTAATTAATATCTTTAAGATATTATGGAAAAGATTAGTTATGGTTAAGATATTATGTTAAGATTTTTTTGGTAATTAATATCTTTGATTTAAATTTTCGAAATTAAATAATTAATGCTAATGGCATGCTATTGTAAATATTTCTCAACTTCAGGATTTATTTGCTAATTGTGATCCAAAAATATATATATAGATTGACATGTTTCAAATTCAAAAATAATTGTTTTATTTTTGGTGAATTTGCGAAATGCAGAATATTAGAGGGAAACTATCCCGCCATTAGGAAACCGCATAATCTTTTCTACGGCCTTGAGCTCAAGTCGGTGGTGGCCATTTTATCCTATATTTCGTCTCTTCGACTTCC